TGACGTTTTAGTGGTCAATTGGCCAAGTATGGATTCTGATTTTTAACCCCTAACTTCTTTTTTGCTATACAAACTTTCACGCTAATAAATACGTTACTACGGATATATTTCACAGTTGGATTATTAGAGGGGTTTTTTTTACGAGGGTTAGCAACAGGGGTTATATCAACCCTTGGGGTGATAGTGTTATTGAAAAAAATCCCATTTTTAAGTATGTCGTACTTTTTATGTTCTAATCCGTTGACGTTTTAGTGGTCAATTGACCAAGTTACTTCTTTCAATTAATTATTATTTTTATGTAAGGTCTTGGTTGAGATAAAAAAGTCAGTGTCACGAGCGGGATTCTAAGACCTTACATAAAAAGAATAATTAATTTAATGGATTCTCATTTTTAACCCCAGACTCCTTTCTTGCTATACAAACTTTCACGCTAATAAATACGTTACTACGGATATATTTCAGTTTGATTTAGAGGTTTTTTTGTTTTGTTTTTTAACGAGGGTTTGCAACAGCAGGGATTATATCAACCCTCGGGGTGCCGGTGTTTTTGAAGGAAAGCCCATTTGTAAGTATGCCGGGTTCGAATGCAGGGCCGCTGGATTCGAACCCGGGACCTTTACCTTACCGCCGCTTTACATGAGCGCCGTGTCAACGCCTAAACCGTTGCGGCCACCGACGCCCCCAATTTATTCTTATTATATTAATTTTAATTAAATTAACCCATATATTCTTGTGTGCTTGATAAACTTGTTAGTTGGATAAAACAAAATAGAAAATACAAACCAAAAACAAATGTTAATCCTCAATTTTAATAATGGATTTACTTAAAGCAAGCATAAAGATTACCAATTTGGTAAACAAACACATTTTCTCGTCTTTTCTTCATTTTAATCCAGTTGTATTCTCTTTAAATATGGAAAGACATCATCTTGAACCAGAAGTTCGCAATATTGTGAGAATGAGTCATCGAGGACACCGGAAAGTGGATATCGCAGAGGCAGATTTTAAGAGGGTGATCTCCCGGGCTTTAGCCCGATTCCGAGAGACTGGAGTGCCAATAGGAGGCCTGATAGTGGATCTCAGGGCATTACTACGCTAAGGGAGGACAGAGATTCCGTTCCCGAGAACATCGTCAACAAGACAAGAGGATCTTTAGCGTCCGCACCTGGCCTATTCGGCCTTATCGGACGTTTTGATTCTCAAGATGAGAGCTGACGCACCTCCGCATATGACGGAATTGTGTTACTGTCGCAGCAATGGTGTAGAGGCGCCCCAGCCCCTAAGGGCCGAGACAACCTCGCTCTCCGCTTGTTCACTCCGAATGGTCGGACCCGCATTGTGCATCGGGTCGTATGCCGCACGCAAAGGGCTAACAGGCCAAAATACATCAGCCTGTTCTCCCGAGTTCTCCCTAGATAGAGAAGGCCACTCTATCTCCCTGAGTATCTCCCCTAGCGTAGAAACTTCCGGGAAAGCCCCAGCAGCGGTTTAGTTTAAAGTGGAATTGCTAACCACTCCCTAGATGAGCACCGCCTACGGTAAAATCTCTTATCGAGCTCAGCCTACACCTGCTATGCGCATTCGAGGGACGCCATAGGCTCAGCCTAGTTGGTCCGATACTTCGCTTCCCCAAGGGTACCACGCTGGTCATACGCACAACAATGCAAAAACATACTCGAGTCATAGATACCGATTCACTACCCGTTTCCGTTCGCTTACTCACGCATTCGAGGGACTATTCAGCATGATCGTCGCGTCCTCAACGCTTACACGCTGTCGTCCGGTCGCAACGTCTCCCGTGAAGCCGGGGGTAATTACGCTGGCCATACGCAAGCTTTCCACTACGAATCCATTCCCAGTGTAACTAGGGCTGAATTTGCAATGTTCAGTTACGCCGTGGAACAGATGGCCATACACCCTCCCCCGTCTATGCAGACAGAATCTAGTGCACTGGCCCTCGTGTGACTCTGCTAAGGCACCCGCCGCCCATGCCGACCCTAGGCCGACACGAGTGCAGCTTGTGCTTTAAAGAGGTTGCCACGAAGGGAGGACAGAGATATTGTCATTGCTGTGAGAGATGTTTTGACAAGGCCTTTATCAATAGCACATATCGTAGCACCTTCGAGACCTGCAGCAACAGCCCGCCACCAGCAACTCAGGAGAATATCGTGCAGCGAGCGCCTAGAATAGAACACAAGTTGGAATCTTGTTATGTTTACTGATGAGGCTACTATTACTGATGTCTGTATAGTGATAGCTGGCGATGGTCTACCAAGAACAGGAGGTGCGGACAATGCCCCAGTTTGTGCAGTAATGGTCTGGGCTGGGACTTACACTGGAGGACGAATTCGACTCCATAATGTCAAATGCGACCTCACCGCAGTCCGTTATGACCAAGAAATTATGGAGGAATACATCCCCCAAACCAGGGATCTCATTGGCAGGGTTTTTCGATTTCTGGACGACAATGCCAGACCCCATAGAGGCAGAGTTGTTCATCAATGTTTACAAAGCCTGAGAATTTCCCATCTGCCCCTTCCCCCATTTTCTCCATACTTTTGAAATTGAGCATATGTGGGTGCGTTGCAGAGAAGGCTTTTCGATCACCATCCGAAGCCAGTTGACCTGCAACAACTGAGTATAGCGTTGCAACATTATATATTATTAGTATCAATTGTTTAAAAAAAATATTGTGTCCAATAAATAAAATTATGAAATTAAACCGTTTTTTTTTGTTTTTTTTCAAAATCCATTAATTAAATTTTCCTTCAGTAAAAAACATAACTTCTAATAAACGTTAAAGTAATTTATAACAAAATAAAAATAGATGGAAAAGTAAATATTACAAAATTGCCAATATACCTATTCATTTTTGAGCAGTATATACTGAAAAATGTTAAACATCTGTCGGAACGTTCTTACCAAATGGGCCCTAGGAGCCAAGAGATTTTTAAAAAATCTAATTTTAGTTATTGTTTATTCGGAGATCATGAGATGCGGTCTGGTGTGATGTAGGTTTCAGAAAAACATTTTCTTTATTGTGCCAACGTTTCGATCTTTATTGAGATCATCTTCAGGGCCTGGGATTTACATTGTTTATATTTAACAAATACATGTAGGATGTGGAAAAAAAATGAATTTATACAATGAAAAAAAAGTTTTTTTATATTCAATCAGAAAACAAATACTTTGATTGAATATAAAAAGATTTTTTTTTGCATTGTATTAATTCATTTTTTTTTCTTTCCACATCCTACATGTATTTGTTAAATTTAAACAATGTTTGAAAATCCCAGGCCCTGAAGATGATCTCAATAAAGATCGAAACGTTGGCACGATAAAGGATATGTTTTTCTAAAACCTACGTCACACCAGACCGCATCTCATGATCTCCGAATAATCATTGACGAACGGTCACTAAACACCACACATTTCTAATTTGAGTGTAGTTTCCGACTTTATTGTGCGTTCATTTCTAGGTTATTATATAACAGTCTATTTATATTTTAACTTAGAATAAGAACTTTTTTTATTAATGGAATATTACAACTCCCCACAATTTTGGGTAATAAGTAATAGTGAACAAGAGTAAAGAAACAAAACAAAAAATTAAATTTAAAAAAAAATCAGAGTTAAAAAGTTGAATGACATTTCACTACCGCTATCTTCACTGATAAATCTCTGAGCCATCGCCGTAGTAACGTATTTATTAGCGTGAAAGTTTGTATAGCAAGAAAGGAGTTTGGGGTGAAAAATCATTATCCATTAAATTATTCTTTTTATGTAAGGTCTTCGAATCCCGCTAGTGACACCTTTTCTATCTCAACCAAGACCTTACATAAAAAGAATAATTAATTGAAAGAAGTAACTTGGTCAATGGATTAGAACATAAAAAGTTTTAAAACCAAACCGTCGTTTAAAAAAAAATCGCATTTGCTTCAAGATTCCTGTAAAAGCAATGAATGAATTTTGTAGCAAACAAAAAGTAAATATTTTTGGGTTGGGTCATCCCAGCGCAATTTTTGCTACTCCGATGTCAGTCGTTCAACATAAACATTCATAATTTCTCTGAATTAAATCTAAATTTTTTAACATCATTAACACTGTTGGACAGCTGAGGATTTTTTTTATACTGTGTAAACAAAGTTTAGATTTTATTTCATTGTCATGTATGGATATATAGATAGATAGATAGATAGAGATAGAGAGAGAGAGAGAGAGAGAGAGAGAGAAATAGAGAGAAAGAGAAAGAGTGAGAGAGAAAAAGATAGATAGATAGATAGATAGATAGATAGACAGATAGATAGAGAGAGAGAGAGAGAGAGAGAGAGAGAGAGAGAGAAAGAAAGAGAGAGAAAGAGAAAGAGTGAGAGAGAAAGAGAGAGATAGAGAGAGAGAGAGAGAGAAAGAGATAGAGAGAGAGGGGGGAGAGAGAGAAAGAAATAGAGAGAAAGAGAGAGAGAGTGTGAGAGAGAGAGATCCCCTCGTCTTGCCCCGCAGATTCCAACAGTACCATTCTTGCTATTTTTATTATACGGTAATAAAAGAAAAGAAAAAAACCCTCTAATGATCAAACTGTGAAATATATCCGTAGTAACGTATTTATTAGCGTGAAATTTTGTATAACAAGAAAAGAGTGTGGGGTGAAAAATCAGATTCCATTGTAGGAAAACCTATAAAATACAAAAAAATTTGTTTAAATGCAAGATTTTTGGTAATACGTAACATGATAATGTGTAATGACTTATGTTCAGGAGCTGGACTAGGCTTGGAAGTAATTCTGTGGTTTTATTCGGTTTCTTGACTTTTCCAAAATTTCTTCCTGAGGCGCTCCTCCAGCCGCGGCCGTCCACCAATTGCAAAACCCCGATTCACCGGCAATGCGAAAAAGCGGAAGGTCCTTAGAGCAGGAAGGTGCGATTACACAATGAAAGGTGCCCCACCGGCCGGCATGGCATCCCCCGCCCTGTACCACACCACACTTTAACTATATATACGCACCGTCTACTCTACAGATACAAACGACTTCACAAACCGTCTCCAAAGGGAATAGAAACAGCTAGAAAAATGGCATCCCTCAAGATTTCGGTAAGTCGTCGAATTTTCGCCTTGTAAGACTCGCCGTGGGACCAAGGGAATTATTTAAATTATTTATTCTTAAATGACCAAAAAATTAATTTGTTTATATATACAAACAAATTAAATTATTTATATACGTATACACAGTTCGTTCCATAAATATTTAACCAAATTTTCGGAATATTTAGCTTTCTGTCCTCTACAAAATGTTGAACCTAAAAAGAAACGAATTTAATATATATTTTTTTTAAATAAAAACTTTCGGTAATATTTTTATATTTTTACGAACATATAGAAACACTCTACAAATTAATTCAATCATTTATTAATGTTTACATTGTTAAAATCAAATTTGAAAGGGAAAAAATATTAGCTTACACTTTGTGTTGTCTTACTTTCATCGAATAACTTAGTACATAAATAAATAAGTTTAAAATTTAAAATAATTTAAAATAAAATCGTGAATTGAATCTGATAAATAAATCCCGATAACAGAATGATAAATTTGAGCCTATATTCAAATTTTGAAATTTTACGAAAAACACTCAATTTTGACTTTTTTTTTTATTGATATTCCACGTACTTTCCCTTATGATTTATGATCAGTCAAACAATATTGAACATTGTCGATTCTAAAATTAATATTTAATCCATCTTTCTGACAATACACATTTAAATTATTTTCACCTTTAAAAAAATCCAATTGAACAATTTTTGTTTTGAGGTATCTTTTGATTTTGACACTAGTTATCCAGTAATTAAATTTTATCAATATTCTCATTTCGTGCAAGTCTAGTATTTCTACTTTAAATACGTTGGCATTTTCGCTAATTTTGAAAATATATATTATTTGGATTATCCTACGATCTTTTCTATGTGTTATGTTATTTTATGATATATTTGTGATCGGATTCCTTTAGGATTTTAAATTTTTATCTGTATTGCATGCAAATCCCCCCCCCCAGGTTCAACTCAACGAAAAATCAAATGGAAAACCGTTATATGAGGGATTTTTTATTTTAATCTTCTAATAATATTCTCATAATACAATGATGCATTTTTATTTCTTTTTTAAAAATATTTTTGATGTTTATCAAATATTCTATTCATGGAATTGATAAAAATTGTATAATGCTGTCTGTAGTTTGATTAGTTTATATTATATTTTTCTATATGCGTAACTTTCTTTTATTTATCAATGTGTCAGTCAATTTGTTCGTTACTAGTCATTTTCATCTGCCTATCGGTTGGCCTGTCAGTCGCGTCTAGCCTTCTCTCCATCATCAGTGTGACTGTTCATTTATTAATTTCACTTATTAGAAAAAATTCAACTAAAAAAATCGTGATTTGATTTTTGATTCTCTCAATTAGAACTTGATCTGTTATCTAGATAAATGATGTAATCCGATGGCAAACATGCTAAATTTTTATAGGTTCTTTTTTTCTATAAATGTTTGGTGATTAGTGACCGTTAGTCGATGATTATTCGGAAATCGTGAGATGGGGTCTTCAGAAAAAGATTTTCTTTATCGTGACAACGTTTCGATCTTTATTGAGATCATCTTCAGGGCCTGGGATTTACAAACATTGTTCCAATTTAACAAATACATGTAGGATGTGAAAAATATTTTTTATATTCAATCAAAGTATTTCTACTTACTTTCTACTCTTTTTCTATAAATGTGAGTGCCTTAAAATTTTTCGTTCTTTTTTATTTCCCTTCCTATAAATATAACTTTCACGTGGCGTTTATTTTTTGTTCATATTAATAGATATTTACTTGATGTATAATTTTTATTTAATTATTTGCTCTTCTAGTCTTGGACTTTTTTTTTCACTTGTTTATGTTTATGTAACTTTCAACTAAATTCAACTTGACTTACGGATGAATGCAAATTTGCCTTTATTTCCAATCTGGTTGAATCTTAAATCCAACCACTTTTTCTCAAAAATTTTACTTATTTAACTTGGATTTTTATTTTGGTTTTTACACGGACAAGTAATTTTGGTTTTTAGATTATTTGTTTTATTTTCTTTATTAAAAAACGTCCCGGTACAGGGTTGAAGTAGATCAACCTTTTTACTAATTCATACTTATTTTCCTTTCATTTCAATTTTTTTACATTTTTTTTACCATTTTTGTTTAAATAGTACTAAAATTTTGAAAGTTTATATTGATTTTGCCTTTTAACAGTTGTTCAATTTAGAAAAAAATTCTTATAAATTAAAAGTCAGAATTAATATGCGTATAAACAAGCCTGATCGGAATAAAAGTGTCAATTTCCGATCGCTTTCACATGCCGAGGAATTTTCCAGGAATTCTGAGAAATTGGCCATTTAGTGATTATGTTCCATAATAAATGAACGCCCGGTATTTCAACGTTAATACGGTTATTCCATCATAGGCGGAATTTTTTTCTCCAAAAGCCGCAATTGCTACCGGGAAAGTAGTCGTGGGCAAAAATCGCGTATTTGATGGATAGTTAAGTTGTGGCTTGATATTAGAAAGTACGCTCGTGCGCTTGTGTTTTATTTTTTTACTTCGCTTTTTCGCAAACTCCTAATTTACATCGAATTACGGTTGGAGTCGTCAGGATCAAAACCGGGAAAATTCACGATCTGTTCGAAGGTGAATGAAAGGACTCGTTATCGACAAAGTCCAATTAAGACCCTGAAAGCATTTCTTCCCCTATTTCCATTCGTAAACACTTCGTTGAAGAAAGTACGTGACCTAGAAGTTCTTATTTTTATTTGGACATTTACTCGGACAAACAAATGGTCCATTAATTGAGAAACTTTCTGTCCAAGAATGCCTCCGTCTTGTTTTATACCTGACGATTTCTTTAATCAGCTTCGAAACCTCTTTTAACTTTAATGCAGGGAATACCAAAAAATAAAAACTACATGACGTAAATCAAGTAGAAATTTTCAAAACTTACAGGAAAAAATAGACAGAAACAATAAAATTCAAACCTTATAAAATATCATAAACTGTAGAAGGATTTTTTGATTTATTATTGTAATGATCCAATTGCTGTATCACCTTTAAATTAATACTAATTATACACAAATTTATTAAATTTTTAATTGAGAACTGAAAAAAAGGAAGTTTGTTTTGAAGACGTCCAGATTTAACAGTTTTACAGATGGGATGATATAGTTTCATAAACATAAATTTTATGTGACATCGGAACAATTCCAGGCTCGGGAAACAAATAAAAATCCCTAATGTTCGGTGTTAATCGTCTTGACAGTTTAAGAAATTATGACAAATTATAAAGAGAAGCTAAGAATCTAATGACAAAATGCAATATATATTTATATAAAAATAAAAATAATTAAATAAGGGAGTCGATAGTGAAATGGGGAAAAAGTGCTGAGAATGTAAAATCTAACGAAAGAGGAATAAGAACCTAAAATCTATTGTACTGTTTAATTCGAGATTTTATTTTTTTAAAAATCTTGATAATTAATTCTTACTGTTTCGATCGAATTTTATGCTGATGATGAGATATTTTTCTCTAAAATAGATGGATTACCCGTGAATATACAGTTTAAAGAATCCCACGATTTTTATTCTATTTGCTTATTTTTTGTACTGATTATGAAGAGTTTTGGTAGACTCAGTGAAGTTCTAGAAAATATTTTTTTTGTATTAAATTTTAATTATTCAGATATCGTGAGATGCGGTCTGGTGTGATGCAGGTTTAAGAAAAACGTTTTCTTTATCGTGCCGACGTTTCGATCTTTATTGAGATCATCTTCAGGGCTCAAAGTGGTTTTTTTTTCTGCCATCCTTGTGTGTCGTGTTGAGAGTTAAATTTTAATTGGCAATTTTTTAAGAATTTAATCAATTTTTTATTAGTTTATGGGGATTGACAGATTTCACGAGGGATGAATTTTTTAGCCTGAACATTAAAGAATTTGTTTATAACCCTCTAATTTTAATTAGGCTTAATTTGAGTCAAATTCAATAAAAAAATTCCATGATTATTGACTGAAAGCAAAACTGACCTAAAATAAAGAAATTGTTTGATCAGAAAAATCTGAATAATGTTAATAAGTAATTAATTATTACTCTATCAGCAAGGTAGCTAAGTTTTACGAAAGTTGATTTTTTAAAGGGATTTCTCAAAGTGCTCAACAGCAATATTTATTTTTGTAAATTTTGACGAAAAATTTTACGAATTTGTGAGAATAATTGAATGATAAGCATTTATAATTTAGCGTCTACTTCATCTTTTAAATGAATATGATTTATTATGAGATTCTGGGCGTTGGCTCACAATGAAGATGGCGGGAAGACAAAACGAGTCTGACAAGCGAGGGTAGGCAGACCGAAATGATCAAATACTACTGTATACTCAAATTCACTATTTTTCGTGGTCCGCTTGGCCAATTAATATCATTCAATTAATTAAGGTTTTTAGTTGAGATAAAAAAGTCAGTGTCAGGAGCGGGATTCGAACCCACGACCTTCGGCCTGATACGCCGCTACTCTACCACTTGAGCTATCGTGACTTCGAACCACTCGGACACTAACTTCTCATCTCAACCTACCTTTCGAATTTTCCCCCCGACTTAGCGAAGTCACGATAGCTCAAGTGGTAGAGAAGCGGCGTATCAAGCCGAAGGTCGTGGGTTCGAATCCCGCTCATAACACTGACTTTTTTACCTCAACTAAAAACCTTAATTAATTGAATGACTACTATATACTTGCAAAAAATTGTTCTGAAACCAACGAGTGTAATAAGTTGAAAGGGTTCTCATTTTCTACATGGAATTGAATAATAGCAATAAACAATTAATTAATGCTGTTTTAATTAAGCGGAAAACAAGAGTAGTAGCGTGAATTTCTCAAGTTTCGATTCAGTCCACAATTTGTACGTAATCCACTGCAAAATTTATTTGGCCGGAGGGAAAATCACGATGGTTTTTTTAAGAAGAAACGTAAAGAAGCAAACGATGCTGAAAACAAGGCGTGTCGACGGATTATTGGGCTGGAAGGGTCTGCCCGGGGATCGAGTCAAGTTTTGCATCGGGACATTATATTGCAAGTTGCATAATAGCATAATAACCCTGGGTCACTCTTCCTGGCTCAGGACAGGTTTTTCGACCCAGTTATAACTGAATTCTTCCGGTTTCAGGTCGCCCTCCTTCTCGCCCTCGTCGCAGTCGTCTCATCGTTCCCTACCCCAGGCGGATACGGAAAACAGTAAGTTCAATTAAAAATTTTCTTTTCAACTAGATAATCCCTTAGAAGCTGAAAGTCTGATTCTTCAGTGATAAAGTACTGAAAATTTTCTGACAAGGATATACAGCAAGAGTGTGATGACCTGGTGGTATATCTTGTTCCTTTCAAATTTTCTTTATTTTCTATTTGTTTCTTTACATATCGAACCGGCGTGTCACGTAATGATCGTTCAAATATCCTGTTATTTCCGGAAGTACATACGGATTTCTCTAGCATTTGAAAATAGGGTTCAAGTGGACCGTTTCCTCGTGAAAGGGAGCTGGTTCTGGGGTCCAGATGTAATCGGATGCCTTTCGAACTTGCAAGTGCAGAGCATAACAGCATAATTGCTATATCCGCGTAACTGAGCCGATAGCATTTATCGATTTTCCAACAGGTCCATCGATCATCCGACGCTAGGACAGTGCCAATTGTGAAGATGTCTGTTATTTTCGACCACGCTTTAAATTTTTCTTTAACAATCATCTACATATCTAAAAACATGATATATAATTACGTTTTGCTTGTAACTTGTGCCTTTCTTCGTCCAAAAATTGTTTGGCTTTTGAGCAAAAATTCTAACCTCGAAGAATATCCATTCATCCCATTCATCCAATATTGTAACAAATAATTATAAAAATTACAAATTTTTATTGATTTTAGATAAAAACCTTGATAATATAAAGCCTCTATTAACACATTACAGCCAAGTGTACAATTATCTTTAAAAAAATAAAATAAAATAAAAAATATATTGGGTCTTGTATAACCAAGTTGGACTTCATGAGATCATTAAAAAGTCCATTAATTACCATCATTTTATTTTTATTATTTTTTATTTTATTTATATATTTATTTTATTTTTCATTTTTTATTTTCATTATTTTTTACCCATTATTTCCATTAATTCCCCAATGAACTTACAAAAACAATTGTAAAGTCCTCAGCCTATTCAAAAGTCAATGTACTTTGTCATTACTTCCATTACTTACCATTATTTTATTTTCATTATTTTTTATTTTATTTTTTCATTTTCATAATTTTTTACTCATTATTTCCATTACTTTCCCCCATGTACTTACAAAAACAATTGTAAAGTCCTCAGACCATTCAAAAGTCCATTACTTTCCCATTACTTGCCATTATTTTTTTATATTTTTTTTTTTTCATTTTTTATTTGCATTATTTTTTACCCATTATTTCCATTACGTTCCCCAATATTCTTACAAAAACAATTGTAAAGTTCTCAGAACATTCAAAAGTCCATTACTTTCCCATTACTTCCATTACTTACCATATTTTATATTTATTATTTTTTTTTTATTTTTTACCCATTATTTCCATTACTTTTCCCAATGAACTTACAAAAACAATTGTAAAGTTCTCAGAACATTCAAAAGTCCATTACTTTCCCATTACTTCCATTACTTACCATATTTTATATTTATTATTATTATTTTTTTTTACCCATTATTTCCATTACTTTTCCCAATGAACTTACAAAAACAATTGTAAAGTCCTCAAACCATTATTAAAAGTATCTCATATACTCAATAACCTTAAAAGAATAAAGCTCAAAAATAAAATCACAAGAAATAATTAATTTTTTTCATAAAATTTTTCAGCACTCACTACGTGATTCATGTGCCATACCACGTGCACACCGTGCACCACCATCACAAGGTTCCAGTCTACGTCAAGACGCACACCCACACCCATACCCATACCGGCAGCTATGGAGGACACTATTACCATGACGACCACGACGACCACGGCTGGCACGGATGGGACTGAGTTACTTGGGCGAACTTATAAAACCAAGAGCAGAATTTTAAAAACATCCTGTATCATAAAAAAATGGTGCAGCTGTAAATACCCATCAATCATCACCACTCATCTCAGTTACCTCGTATATTCTAGTACAAAATATAGTCGTTAAAGTATTTGTCAATCAAATGTTAATAAGTGACTGATTCATCGTCAATAAATTAAATTTTTTTATACCTTTTTTTATTAATAAATACAATTTAATAATAAATGAGTTTTATTATTATCATTATTCAAAACCCAAGCTTTGCACCCTTCCTACTCCTAGTTACTTAGTTCAGTTCAACTGACTCGATCCTTTTCTTAAGAAGTACTAGTCATTGACAGCTTTGACTGCTGTTGCTACAATTCTTTTATTTGGGTTTTGTTTCTCAGTTTCAATTTGTGGAATTTGCCACATTTTGGTTGGAACAAGGCATCTCAAGCTTGTTTCAACTGTTTGGATCAAAATACCCATTATGGAATTTTGACAAATGAAATTTAAACAATTTTAGTTTTATGTATGATAACATTTGCCTTCCTAATGCTTTTTCTTTGGCATTTAGCTTGTTGACATTTCATCAGCGTATGACAACATTTTGCAACAGGGTTCGGGTAAAGCAGGAAAAAAAGAGAACAATGTAGGACCCAAGATAGATCCTTTGGGGACACTGGTTATTCTACACAGCGAAAAATAACAGTTTCATTTCAAATTCTAACTTTCATTTCAAAATACAAAAAACAGGCACATAAACAGTCTAAGAACTTGGTCAGTTTGAGCAGATGAATAATCAGACATCAGGAGATGCAACAAAGTTTAAATACTGATGGAGAACACATTATAAAAGCCAAAGAATATGCCACAAATTATTGAACACAATCAAAGTTTTATATATCTTTAGATGATCTGAATAAAGATTGAAACATTGACACGATAAATTTTTTCTAAACCTACGTCACACCAGACCGCACCTCACGATCTTCAAATAATCGTTTTATATTGGGTTGTCCGGAAAATAATGCAGGATTTTGGTATTAAACAAAAAAAAAGAAACTAGTTACTTTAAAGCAATGTTCTTTAATCAAAATAATTTCCCATNGAGTAATCCTGTAAACGTAAACAGAATATTTTATATAGATTTTTTTTAATGAAAACTTAAAATCCTGCATTATTTTCCGGACAACCCGATATATCATTCTATTCTGTACATTTTATGTACCTTCATATATTATATTAATATATATTGAAGCAAATATTTAAATGAGTTTAAATGTATTCAAATTATGTCATCTCAAGACAGTTTAAAGGTCAGAAAAAATATTTGAGAAACATGAGTTTTTTTACAAGATTAGATAAAGATAACAGTAAAAGTTAGCTAATTATTTTATATTTAACTATGCATATATATGTAACTATGTAATATACATCATACTTTTGTAATATGATTTGATCCTTGATTTGTCAAATAACATGTCATTGCTTTGTTCTAAGGAATAATCCACAAATAAAAATAGAAAAACTATAATTTTCTATTAAATAAAAAGTTAGAAGGCACAGGGGTGACATTAAATGCAAATAAAAAAGTAGAAAATTAAAAGACAAAAATAGAGCAGAAAAAAGCACACAGGAAAAGAAAAAGGGAAGGGTACAGAGTGAGAAATAAAGAAAGGAATAAACGGACAGAAAAAAAATTTATCTATTAGTATTGTAATTGTAACACTAATTTATTACACAAGAGGTCCAAATGAGGAACACACAATGGCAGTTTTAAAAGGCTTTTTCACCCAATTAAAAAGACTGGTACAAGTGATGACAGGAAATGACATTAAAAAACTAAATAATTCTCGAAAAGATGACAAAAAATATGGAGTAATATTTGTCGAGCTGAATAAAAAAAGCACGCAAAACAGTTTAATATGGAAAATGAGAGATAGAGTGTGAGATAAAGATGCCTAAAGAGACAGAAAAAATAAAGATAGTTATTAGTTTTATAATTATAACACTAATTCATTATATAAGAAACACACATGATGTGGATCACGTAATAACAGTTTTAAAAGGCTTTTTCATATAATTAAAAATACTATCTGGTGATGGACATGACATTAAAAAACCTAAACATAATTATTTCTCAGACGGTAAAAGAAAATAATTATAAGTCGGTTTAACAACAACAAAATATAGAGGAATATTTGTAGAGCTGAACAAAAAAGTATAATATAGAATATGAGAGTTAGTGAGATAAAGATACATAAAATGACAGAAAAAAATGGATGTAATTATTAGTTTTATAATTGTAACAATAATCCATTATACAAGACGTACAGATAATGACAGTTTTAAAAGGCATTTTCACGTAATTAAAAATTTTGGCGGCAAGTCATGTTGGACATGACATAAAAAAAGGTAAATATAATTACTTCTCAGAATATTAAAAGGAAATAATATAAGATTATTAAAGGAATATTTGTAGAGCTTAAAAAAATCATAATATGGAAAATTAGAAATAGTGAGATAAAGATGCCTAAAATGACAGAAAAAATTATTATAATTATTACTTCACATAATTAAACATTTTGGTGGAAATGTTGGACATGACATTAAAAAAAGCTAAATATAATTAATTCTCAGACAGATAAAAGCAAAAAATATGAGACTGTTAAAGAAATGTTTGTAGAGCTTAAAAAAAAATTATAATATGGAAAATGAGAAATAGTGAGATAAAGATGCCCAAAATGACAGAAAAAATTATTATAATTATTAGTTTTGTAATTGTAAAACTAATCCATTATGCAAGATTACAGATAAAATGACAGTATTAAAAGGCCTTTTTCACATAATTAAAAATTTTGGCGGCAAGTCATGTTGGATATGACATAAAAAAAAGCTAAATATAATTAATTCTCAGACAGATAAAAGCAAATAAAGGAATATTTGTAGAGCTTAAAAAATTATAAAATGGAAAATGAGAAATAGTGAAATAAAGATGCCTAAAATGACAGAAAAATTATTATAATTATTAGTTTTGTAATTGTAACACTAATCCTTTATACAAGATATACAGATAACAATGACAGTTTTAAAAGGCGTCTTCACATAACTAGAAAATTTGGAAAAAAAATGTTGGACATGACATTAAAAAAAAGCTAAATATAATTAATTCTCAGACAGATAAAAGCAAATAATATGACCGTTAAAGAATATTGTAGAGCTTAAAAAAATTATAATATGAAAAATGAGAAATAGTGAGGTAAAGATGCTTAAAATGACAGAAAAAATTATTATAATTATTACTTTTGTAATTGTAACACTAATCCATTATACAAGAAGTACAGATAATAATGACAGTTTTAAAAGGGCATTTTCACATAAAAAAGTTTGAATTAATTATCAGAAAGTTAAAAGGAAATAATTATAAACCTGTTTAACAAAAAAAAAAAAAAAAAAGGATTAATACTCTACTATATACTACAATGCTCTGCACTATAAACAATACTCTTACAATTCGTGTCGAGAGACGTGGTGTAAATTCCTTCAACCTGATGACGAGCTATAAGCATGAAATCCAGATCACTGAAAACAACTAACTGTGAGTAGGAACTATCTTTTGAAAAATATTAAAAAATATGGAAGAATATTTGTAGAAGTGAACAAAGAGAATAAAGAGGAAGTAGGAAAGAAGTGTAATATGGAAAATGAGAGATAGAGTGTGAGATAAAGATACCTAAAGAGAAAGAAAAAATAAATATAATTATTGGATTTGGAAATGTAGCACTAATGTATAACACAAGAGGCTCAGATGAACAACAATTACAGTATTAAAAGGCTTTTTTACACAATTAGAAAGCCTGGCCATAAATTACATTAAAATAAACTTGAAAAAAAGGATCTTCGGAGAGGTCACAACAGAAAGACAATTCTTTAATTTTTTGCCGAGCTTTTGACGATTATATCATCATCATCAGGGTTTTAACTTAGATTATTTAAAATTAGGTGACTACACTCCCTTGTGGTAGAAGTTAGCACTTTAATTTAAGTTATCTATATATATTAAAATTTAAAAATAGTTTAATTAATTTTAACTGTGATACTCAAATTTCACTGATATTCAAATGTACCTGGAGAAAAAGTAATTTTGTTTAAAAAAAAGAGGCATGTACTTGTATGTATATTTTAACCGAGATACTCAGCTTCACCTGATTTTAAATAATCCTATTAAAAAATGCAGTTTCTTGTTCTTAAGTTATATTTCAACACTCATCGAGTTAAAGCCCTGATATAATCATTGAAAGCTCGGCAAAAACTAAAATAATTGTCTTTCTGTTGTGATCTCACCGAAGATCCTTTTTTCCAAGTTGTTCAACAGCAAGTTGACACATCATCTCATCTTTAATAACATTAAAATAAAAATAAATTTCGGACAAAAATTTCAAAAAAAATTAAGACTGAACAGATAGTAAAGCAGCCGTCACATCAAAATGAATGCATTCAAAAAACTCCTATTCCTAAGAAAACGCAACATCCTGATTATATCTTAGGTACTAGGACACAAAGGAATTTTGGGTAAGAAAAATGCAGACAAACTGGCAAGAAGAAGAATCTGCAATAGGCCCTGAATCTATTCTTGCGATAACAAAAACAAATGTGGAATTGTTTCATCTCAGATGGATTGAAAAAAGAAAAGGAGAAGTGCCTTGATTCAGGTTAAGTAAGCATGTGATGAGTATGCTTTACACACTTTCCATATTGCACCTGGCAAAACCAAACATGTTTAATTGTTTACATATTTATCTATTTCTTTAAAGACAATACCTATTAGAAGTTTACTTGTAAAAAAGAAAAAGTATATATAAATTTCAACTGACTTAGCATCCAAATAACCAAATAAAAATGGAAAATGAGAACTATTTTAAGTCCAGTTATTATTATACATTTATAATGAATATTGTTTATGAATATAGAGCTCTGAGGAAGGTATAATAAATGCTGAAAGCTTGGCAGTAGTGCGATAATTGTCTTTTGGGAATATTCAATGACTGATTTGAAGGTTATGCAAGGAGGAAGAATGCTCGGGAATATAAAAACCCTACTTCCTAGATTTCCATCTTTATGATTTATGGAAATTTTTATAACAGTGTGAAAAAGCTAGGAAAGAAGCCTAATTGGAGTCTTTTTGTCCTCCAATTCTCTCATTCATCTCCCTACAATAGAATAACCAATGCCTTCCCTCCAAGGATCGATCGTGGGTCCTTCATTATTAACCATATTTCTTGCTTTTCCTGAACCCTGGTTCGGCCAAATGGTGTTATGTACTGATGAAATATCGATATTGGAATATTAAAAAAATACATGAAATAGGAGACCATGGTAGCCGAGCTGGTAGACCCCAAAATCGTGGGTTTGATTCCCGCCATCACCCCTGGCCCTTTTTTTATGCTACCATTCTCCCCTATGACAAAACAACAGAATCGTACAATTGCTAATATGCAGTTCATAAGACCAATAAAAAAAAAAATAAAAAAAAATGGCAAGCTAAATGCCAATATGAAGTGGAAATTAAGAGAATTTTTTAAAATAGAGATTATTAACTTTACAAACTTACGAATTGGTTACCAACTCGTTTTGATTATCTACTATTAATTATACTAACTTCAACAGTACACCAGACTCAGAAATTAACCTTTAATTGGCTACGAAAAAAAAAGTTAAAACAAATATAATAAATAATGCAGTGTTTAATCATAATATAACAAACAGAAGGAACTAAATAAACTGTAAATTGAATAATTGTTAGACAAATTTAAATAAAAAACTTTTTATTGCAAAATTCTTCTTAATATACAGAAAGAAATATTAAACAGATGGATTAAAAGGTACTTTTCTCAATCCACTACTTTGTACATAGTTTCTTCCCTCAATGCAAAAACAAATATAAAAGTCACAAGATCTAACATTTTTTAAATTATAAAGCCATTGATCTATGATGAACGGCTAAGGAAATAAAAACATAAATGAAATTAAATAGCCTGTAATAACTTTAATCGTTTTATTACTCAAACCGTACAAGTCCGACTCAAGTAAGGCTGGTAATGAAAAACAATTTCAAGTTAATAATCATAATAATAAATACATAACAGTCACTTATAAATTGTACATTGAGTATAAACACTTGATCTAAACATAATAGTTGAAACTGCTACTTATTGCCGTTTTAAAAAATAATGATAATTATATAGTCGAGAACAAATTTTATTACAAATCATTGCGAATGTTTGAGAAACGAATCGTCAAAAAGAATTTTTTTTTCACAATTTAACATTAGGAAGCACCATGACTAATTGAACATCATTACTATCGATTACAAGAAACCAACTCTAACATTTATTCTTTCTGACCGAAAATACAATGGTCGCAAAGGTCAAAGGGCTAAAGAGCTGCTTTTTTTCTGCACCTCAGTTGAAATTTGTATAATTTTTGAAAAAAGGCGGACAAAGAAAAGAAAACTGTGTACAGCAAACAAGAAAAAATGAAAAAGCTTAGAAACTCATAATTCATTAATAGAAAAAAAAGTAAATTCAATAATTGTCATTATATTATTCAAAAAGCATAGGGCCAAGCAAAATTATATTAGCAAAAAATATAAACATTATTTAATCATGATAAAATCAATGCAATTTTTTTTAACAAATGACAATTAATTTTCATCAATTAAAAATAATTGTTATATTGTAAAGTAAATAAAAAAATATAACTCGTTTCTTTTGACTTCATTTTATTTTAAACTATAAGAGTCTACAATCGAAAGAAAAATTTAACTTGCTTGGTATTTCTTGTGAATTAAAAAAAAAAAAAAAATATTATACATAAGAGGCAGGTCGTAATAATAAATCTGATAAAGACAAAAATAAATACAAAAGAGGAATGGGAAGAGAGTTAGTATTTATTTTTAGAAATCTTAAAAGATACTTGAATTATTCGATCTTTGAAATTGGTTCTGTTGAGAGATTGAATGGCCATTTTTGCATCTAACCAGTTGATCATGTTGACAAAAGCGAAGCCTTTATCTTTGATAACTCTGATGCCCTTGATGGCACCGAAAGGTCCGAAGAGTTGCCAGAGGTCGCCTTCTTCTACATTTGATCCTAGATTGAAGACGAAGAGCGGCCAGGCTTCTTCCTGGCCGTTGGAATAGTTGGCATTAAGCGGTTTTACCTCCTGGTGGTTGTAGTCATTCCAGCTATTGTTTAAGAATCCCATCGGTGCTCCTAAGGGAGGGTACGGGGGGAATGGCTTGCTCAAAGGTACCATCATCTTCCCCGGCGGATGGTCGATCGGTGTGAATTCCATGAACGATCTCTTCTGTGCTTTTAGCTTGGGGCTGTTGGCGAACTTGACTACGAGGGGAGACGGCATACCAGGAGGGGTTTTTCCATTGCACTGGTTGATCGCGAGCAATGCCTCGTCCCGTTTGTCAAACCTGATCAGGGCGGCACTTCTTGCCGCGTTCGGATCCACCAGGTCGAGATTCGGCCTGAGGATCCTGTGGTCGATTATGCAGCCGAATTTCTTGAATGTCGAAAGCAGTTCAGCGTCTGTGATCTTACAAGGGAGGCCTGCTATGTACACATTCGTTCCTTTTATTGCATCGCTGCATGGCCTTGCGAACGACACTTTAAGAACTTTTTCTTGCAATTTGAGACCGTTGAGTTTGTTTATGGCTGCTTCGGCGTCTTGCGAATACTTGAAGTTTACAAATCCATACCCAAGGCTACAACCTTCTTCCTTGTCTCGCATAAGCATGCAACTCTCGATTTCACCCACTGAAGAAAACAATTTTCTAATATCTTCTTGCATGAAACTCTTAGGCAAATAGTTAACGATCAAACTCGTTTTTTCCTGGGTCTCCTCCCCATTTTTGGCAGAAACATTATCACCTTGGCTCATATTTGTATGGTAAACCATCAATCAGTAGACAGTTTGAACATCAAATATTTTTTTCATTATATTATTAGTATTTTAAAAGTGTCACTGCGGTACATGTTACCGGCACAAAACAAATCACATCAAATGTCCTTCAGTGTAGAAAAATATAATCAAACCAAATAATACGATGAAATCGAAGAAAGCTAACTAATCCTGACTAGAAATCCAATGCGATTTATTACTCGTAGTTTATTAATTTCTTCGTTTGAGAGCTTTCATCCATTCAAACAGAATAAGCACAAAATAAACTACTTTTCATATTCCAAGTTTACATAATAAAGTTCTTCAAGAAAGGTTAACGTTTAGGAAGGTTATGGAATGTCCGGGACAGGCACGACAACGGGTTTCAATTTGTAAGAAACTGTGACGTCATATGTAAAAGTATGACGTCACATCCTTGTCAAAAGGAATCCTGTGCTATTCTCAAGAAACTATTTTATTTCTTATAATTCTATCAACATTTTAAAAAATAAGTCTACTTTCAAATACAGTTTTTTGTGCCTTGTGATGTGATTTTCCATGTAGATTTGTTAGTCAGGGTGTGAATTATACTGCGCCCTTTTTAGAGCTGTTGTACCCCCCGTTCTATGCCAATAGCACACCGGTGGGTTCTAGTACATCAAGGAATTTGATTAGTAAGCCCTCTTTCAGTAGTTGAATTTCTCCTATCGTTACATTGTACGTCCCAAAGCAGTTCCTCCTGCGGGCAAGTATAGCCAAATTTTGTTAATTGGTGTGTTGGTGTCTCCTCTGCTTTTTTGCAGAATCTGCACGTGCCGGGCTGGGTTATGCCAATCTTTAAATGTCCGTTTAGTTTACAATGTCCTGTTAAAAATCCTGTTAGGATTCGCAGTTTTTCCTGCTTCCTTTGATACATTGTGTTACTTCTTTCCTTCCAAAATTTTTTAGCGGATTCTTTGATTGTTTGTCAGTGAATGATTTCTATTGTTCCCCATTTGTTTAATCCTTCTTTCTAAAGTACTCCGAGTACGGGTTCCTATGCCATAGAAGGGTTCGTGTCCTATCAGCCGAATAGCAGCCTCTTTTCTTGCACGGGTTTCCGCTTTTCGATGCCTACTACTCTTCGTGTCCTGGGACCTGCAGAGGCTGACTTTGTTCTACATACCTAATATGTTTTTGGTTTTGCAGTTCAACACCATCTTTGAACTAATAATGTTTGAGGTTAGTGCTTTGATGGCTGCTTGGCTAACTGACATGACAGCTATGTTCTTGTTTTTGTACCCCTTAGTTAAATTGAATACATCTCTCGATTCACATCTGCTTAGTAATAATTAAAAATAATCGTATGTTATTCATCTGTAATTAGGCTTTATTTCTTAGCTCGACACTACTTAAAACTTTTTTCTTTCTCAAATTTCTTCTAATAAGTTCCCATTGATATAACCAATAACACCAAATAAACATTTAAGTCAAGGGAGCAGCGTGCTTCTACCAATCTTTTATATTCTTTGTAACACAGATGTCCCGACTTCACCCACCTTGCAACTTTTGCCCATGGCACAACTGTACTATCCTCTGACCCCCCTACGATTGCTCGACACCCTACACCCTTTGGTAGATCTGCAGAGAAATACCACATGTATACATCAACACTTTTAGCAAACGGTTAAGACGAGAACTGAAAACACTAAAAGACGTACAAATCGAAAATTTTACAACTTAATACTAAAGACAAATCAACTGTTCTCGCTCCAAAGGACTACTGTCCTACAAATAAAAATTCATTGATGTTGAAAAAGCATTATTTGCTAAATACCTTACCATCGTTTTCACCCCACACATTGACACATCCGCCATTTTAGAAGAACCGTTATCCTTATCTCCTCTTCCGAAACCTAACACTCAACTGAATTTAAAAAAAAGTTAATGATGAATTACCAACAGAAACCCCACAGAGTATGACCTTCAATACTCCGATCCTTCCTAAATAAGCCCTCATGTTTGTAATCTACATCCATTCAATTCTTAGATCATCCATTTTTTCTTTGATTGATGTTATTCAATTTTTATGCCGGATGCTTGTTCCTTTTTGTTCTTCTTGTTCGAGTATCCATGGATTTTAACTTCCCTAGTGTCTTTAACGTCTGTCTGTTTGAAACAACTTTGTAACAGGGCTGTTGTTTCTTCGATCTCGTTCTTCCTATCTATCAATCTATGTGTGTATCTATGTATTTGATGAAAGCAAGTCGAAAATACCTCTCATGTCATATCAGAATAATCCCTCATATATATTTGTAATTTATCGTTTTGGCTAGGTTTCAATTATGGATGAGAAGAAAAAGCAAGGCTTAAATACAAATTTCTTTTATTTTACTATAATAAACAATAACAACCACAACATAAAGTGTGAAATATACTAGAAAATGAAACACTTTGGTTTAAAATCACAACGATGTGAACTATTAGCAATATTGATAACAAATGCACTACATAGGTTAAGTGGTGCTGAAAATTTTTCTCTTAAAATCCATGGTCAAATAGTTGATAACTGACCGAATTGGATGATTTAGGCGCCAGGGGTACGTCGTCTGACTTTTTAGCTGCGTGATGCACCGTGTAGGAAACGGCAGATGCGAGACCTGCGGATTTACCGTGGCCGCCGTAACCTCCGAGACCACTGAAACCACTGTGGCCACCCAAACCACCAAGACTACTGAAACCACTGTGTCCCCCGAAGCTTCCGAGACCACTACTGTGCCCACCGCCGAAACCACCTCCAAGTCCACTTCCGAGACCACCTCCAAGACCGCCGCCGCCTGTAGCTCCTCCGTCGTCGTCGCCGTGAGTATGGCCATGGCCAATGTTGCCTTCATGGACTTCATCGTGTCCCAAGTCACCGCCATGGGAATGACCATGTGCTACATCACCTCCGTGAGAATGTCCGTGACCTACGCTTCCTCCATGGGAGTGACCGTGACCTACGCTTCCTCCGTGAGAGTGACCGTGACCTACGCTTCCTCCGTGAGAATGACCGTGACCTACACTTCCTCCGTGAGAGTGACCGTGACCTACGCTTCCTCCGTGAGAGTGACCGTGACCTACGCTTCCTCCATGTGAATGTCCGTGTCCGACACTCCCTCCGTGTGAATGACCATGTCCAACACTACCTCCATGAGAGTGTCCGTGGCCGACGCTTCCTCCGTGTGAATGCCCGTGGCCGACACTTCCGCCATGTGAATGTCCATGACCTAAGTTTCCTCCATGTGAATGTCCATGTCCCAAATTTCCACCATGTGAATGCCCATGTCCTAAGTTTCCTCCGTGTGAATGTCCGTGTCCGACGCTACCTCGGTGTGCATGTCCGTGTCCAAGGTTTCCTCCGTGTGAATGACCATGTCCAAGGTTTCCTCCGTGTGAATGTCCATGTCCGACGCTTCCTCCGTGAGAATGTCCGTGTCCGACGCTTCCGCCGTGTGAATGACCATGGCCGACGCTACCTCCGTGAGAATGACCGTGACCTAAGTCACCGCCATGTTTATGACCATGGCCGACGCTACCTCCGTGAGAATGTCCGTGACCTAAGTCACCGCCATGTTTATGACCATGTCCTAAGTCACCGTGATGCTTATGTCCGTGTCCTAATTCTCCATGATGCTTGTGTCCGTGTCCCAGTTCTCCATGATGCTTGTGTCCGTGTCCGAGGTCACCGTGATGCTTGTGCTGATGTCCTAAGTGACCGTCGTGTTTGTGGACGTGATCGACTTTGCCTGAATGATAATGAACATGGTTGATCGTATCGTCACCGGAGTTATCACCCAGGTATTTGGTCCCCAAAGCTCTGAAAAATTTAAAAGAGGATTGAGCGATCTACTTCCCTGGTTATTTTAGTATATCGATAAATCGCTTTACCCTGTCGCTTCGGCTTTTAGATCGGGGTAAGTGTTAGGTGAAGTGCCAACAGGACTGACCACCGCGACTTGGACTGAACTTGCTGTAACTGCAACCGCTAGCGCTGCGACTAGAAACGGGTTACGCATTTCCTGGAAAAGGCATGAAGGAAAAAACATAGTACCGAGATACACACCGCGTTACAAAATACTATGACGCAAACATGGTAGTGCAACAACTACATGGAGCTGAGTATTATCGCCAATTTTCTGCCTATGTTCCGCCACCACCAGATCTGACCTGGAGAAACACCCGGTGGAGCGTGTTCGGTAGAATTTATCTTGTCATCATATAATAGACGAAGTATTAACTCAACATATTGAATTTTTAATTATAATTATTTTATGAAGAAAAACATTCCTACTCACTGCGAAGCATATTTTCTTTGTTTAATTGTACTTGTGTTTAACGTTATAGCTTTACAATATAAATTTGTACTGTGCAGTGAATTTTTATTATATAAGTTAAAATCTATTATTCTTGAACATTTAAAATTGTTAGAATTGAATTTTTGAGATCGGTCATGTTTTAAACAACAAATTTAAGTTGCCTTAAGCCTTCTGAAGTTGAAATTTCAAAGCTTGAAGTTTAGCTATTAAACTCTGTCGGAACAAGTTGAATTAGATCTGAAACTCACCCTCATATTTAAGTGATTTTGTATCCTGTTCACCGTGTATCTTGGTCGGTGATCAACACTGGACTGATGCTGTCTCCTTCGCCGGCCCGGTATATATAACAATATTGCTACATCAAAAAATCAATCACTTAGACACGGCTGTCTGTGTCTTAATTGTCGTATCATGGTGGGGCAGTCCTTTCTCCAACCATTGTCCTGTAGCCGGGGTGTTTTTTCCTCCTGAGTCTGTTTCTATGGGCGCCCCACCCTGCTCTGCAGCGAGGCGACAATTTCCCCGCGCGTTAACTCTAAATCGGTCTACAGCAGTTATGTACATCCAACTGGAACATATCTCCGTTATCCAATGCATATCTGTAATATTGAAGTTGCAAGTGCAGTCGGATCCTGGCCTCGGTAAGTCGACGCGTTTTTTTCCTCCTGTCGCATAATTTTTGGGCCAAAGGGTAGAAAATAACTTGGTTTCTTCCTTTGTCGTCTTACAACAATCAAAATTCAAGTGACTTTTATTTAAAAATTACAATGATTTTTAATTTTCCTTTCTTAAATATTTGCCAATAAAAATCAACATAATCATTATTGTCCCTAAGATAAAAAAAATTGAAATTTAGTAGAAAACGTCAGGCTGATCTAAGTTTTTTCCTATTTTGCTTCTCCACTTAATACTTGAAAACCTTTTCTGCTTTTGTATTAGTAAGATATAAATATCATCCCCTAGGGCGATATTTATAGTGATTTTTTGTTGTTGCTTATTTTGCAAAGTTGATCAGTCACAAAATAATTGTATTTACGTAAATAGCTGGCATTTGATCGGCAGTATATGGATTTCGCGTTTGGCAAAGTGGGTTAAAAGATATTTTTTAGTAAGAACCAAAATAAAAATTCGTTTATCACACCCTCCAAAACCGTCGAATAAATTTCTTTTTTTTGGGGGGGGGGAAGGTGTCCAATTTTTTTAGAAAATCCCAAAAATACTTACAACTTTGCAACGGTTCCAATGATTTACAGGATATATTTTTAGGGATTTAGAACACTATGAACTGCACGTAATGGTATATATTTGACCTTCTTGAATTAATTAAAATATGAGATATAAAAATAAAACTTTTAAAGTGTTCTAGTTGATTCAATTCTTATTTTTTCACTTATAAACATAAAATGTAAAAGTTTTATGATTTAACATAAAAAAAGATATTTTATGCGTTTCCGCGGCTGTTTAAATGTCCGAATTTGGATAGAATCTAATGGGAATTATGACTTTTTATCTCTTTCTTTATTATAGGTCTCTCTGTTTTTTAACACTTTATAATCATCATTTTATCTGTATGTCTACAAATCTGTCTTTGTACGTAAATATGCTTCTTTTAGTGATTTATTTCTGTTGTCTTATAATTTTATTCATCACTTTCTATGCTTCTGTATATTCTTTCTCTCTCTCTCTCTCTCTCTCTCTCTCTCTCTCTCTCTCTCTCTGATTCTCTCGCTATGTTTCTGTGTTTTCTTCATCTCACTCTCTCTCCTTTTTCTGTCTCTAATCTTTCTCTTTCACTCTCTGCCTGACTCTCCCGGTCTGTCGTTACAACTTCTTTCTCTCTCTCTCTCTCTCTCTCTCTCTCTCTCTCTCTCTCTCTCTCTCTGTCCGATTTTATCTCTGTATTTTTGTTTTTCTTTTATCTCACTTTTTCTCTCTCTATCCGATTCTTTCTCTATGTTTTTGTTTTTCCTTCATCTCACTCTCCTGTCGCCAATCTTTCTCTCTCACTTTCTGCCTGACTCTCTCTGTCTGTTGTTACAACTTATCTCTCTTACTCTCTGTCTGTCTGTCTTTCTCTCTCTCTCTCTCTCTCTGTCCGATTCTCTCTCTGTTTTTGTTTTTCCTTTACCTCACTCTCTTTCCCTGCCTTTTACTGTCTCCAATCTTTTTCTTTCACTCTCTGTCTGACTCTCCCTGTCTGTTGTTACAACTTATCTCTCACTCTCTCTCTCTCTCTCTCTCTCTCTCTCTTTTTTTTCTCTCTCTCGCTCTCTCCCCTTCTTATTCTCTTTCTTTTTATCTATCCCGGTCTTCTGACTTTCAACACTTCTATGTTTATCATTCTACCCATTTATCTATATTTCTACGTTTGTATTCATATAAACATAAAATTTTAATGGGTTATTTCTGCCCTTCTCTAATTTTATTTATTTCTCTCATCTTCTCTCTCTCTCTCTCTCTCTCTCCCTCCCTCTCTCTCTCTCTCTCTCTCTCTCTTTCTCTCTCTCGTGATATTCATAACCTGTGCATTTTTCAATTATCTCAAATAAACTTGCCTACTTTTTAAAATAATTCAACATATTTTTATACAAAAGACTTTTCACTCTCAGTGTGGGAATAAATATCCAACTCGAAGGATGCATTAACAAAATTAAACGCAGTAAAACAATAAAAGAATAGATAAAAATAATAACAACATTTAAAAATAATAAGGTAGTGCAAAGAAGTAAAGGATCGAAAAAAAATGTATATTTAGAAAATCTATGGCTAACACAATAACAGTGTTTTTATTATTATTCTTTATTTTTTAAATTATTAAAGTAGAATAGAATAGAATGGAAAATTGTTTATTATTATTATTACATTTCAAAAGATCTTAAGAAAAAAAAGTAAAATGCAAAATGCACAATAAATTAAAGCACGAATAGCATGGGCTGTAGCCCGTCGTCTGATTTGGCTTAATGTCTAATAAATTATCCTATTTTACCAATTTATTGATTTAGTTTCACATTCAAAGTCACGACAGCCCAAGTGGTTAGAGCAGCGGCGTATCTAGCCGTAGGTCGTGGGTTCGAATCCCGCTTCTGACACTAGCGTTTTCAGCTCAACCAAGAACTTACATAAAAAGAATAATTAATTGAAATAAGTAATTTGGTCAATTAGATCACTAAACATATATAAAAATAAAGTTGCAAAGTACTACCTATTTCAATACAATAATTCCCCTTGGTGCGGTCCCATCAAACTCATAACATCAATAATAAAAAAAATTGTATTATTTTTTCCTAAAGCACTCGAAATGATGAGAAAATCGTCAAAAAATTTGAGAGAACATCGTTTGACCAGTGTTTTTTTCATATTCTCACTAGATAAAGGTACTTGCAATTATTTCGAACAGAAATTATAAGAAAAATAATTGATGTTGCAGGTCGTAATGAAATTGATTATCGACGGTGCCCCGCTCATAACTGTAATCTTATGTCAACTTATCTCGTGAAAACTTTCAACTGAAGAGCAAAAGCGACTCATGGGTCGTAGGACCTTGCTAACTTGTAATTATTTGATGGAGCCGAATAAAAAATTATATTTATCGTAACCCTGATTGTTTTGAAAAAGTCGATCAACTAATTCAAATTGATTACGTCCAGCGATCATTTTAAAAAGAAGGTGGCGCAGAAGGCAATTTGTTCGAACACCTCATTTAATTTAATGAATCAGCTACTTGTGGGTAAGAGATAGTTCATTCTCGCTTAAGTAATAGTTCAAGGGATTTAAAATTACATTAACTCTCATTTTTAAACCGTAAATTAACGATCGACAAGCATTTTGCAGCTCCTAGACTTCAGAACGTAAAAAAGCTGAAAACTTACAGTAAAAAACTTTGCTCGCAGTCTGATTATAAAAATTGAATAATTCAAACATTTTGTTTTTCAAATAAAAATTATATAGCTGATTAATTTATAATTTGAAGCTGTATAGTTTAAAGATTTCTCATGAGATTGTAGACTGTAAAATATTATAGTTATTAATTATTTAAAAAACCTACACAAAGTAGAAAGCGTGCTTACAATTAAAAAAATCGGTGATAGCTGGAAGTCTGACCATAAAAGTCCATTAGTTCAAACATTTTTTCAAAGTAAAAAATTTACAAATTCAAGTTGTGTAGTCAAGTGAAAAATCAAAATATTTTAAAAAAATTCATGACGTCTTTTTTTATTTATTTCTATACTATATTAAAATATTATAGTGCGTTATTAATCATTAAAAATGGTATAAAAAGTTGAAAACTTTCAGTAAAAAAAACAACGTGATTGCTGGAAATCTGATTATAAAAAGTGAACAATTCAAACTTTTTTTTTTTTTTCAAATAAAAAGCTGATTAATTTATAATTTAAAGCTGTGAAGTTTAAAGATTTTTAATGAGATTCTAGACTGCAAGGCATGATAGTAAATTATTAATTATTTTAAAAAAGCCTACAAAACGTAGAAAGCGTGCTTAAAATAAAAAAAAACTCGGTGATGGCTGGAAGTCTGATCAAAAAAGTCCAATAGTTCAAACATTTTTTCAAAGTAAAAAATTTTTCTTATTAATTGTGACAGCACAAATGGTAAAATATTATAGTGCGTTATTAATAATTAAAAATGGTATAAAAAGCTGAAAACTTACAGTAAAAAAACGACGTTATTGCTCGAAATCAGATTACAAAAATTGAACGATTCAAACATTTTTATCAAATAAAAATTCTGTAGCTGATTAATTTATAATTTAAAGCTGTGTAGTTTAAAGATTTTTAATGAGATCCTAGGCTGCAAAATATGATAGAAGTTATTAATTATTTTGAAAATGCCTAAAAAAAAGTTGCTGATCGCTGGAAGTCAATAATTCAAACATTTTTTCAAAGTAAAAATTTACAAATTCAAGTTGTGTAGCAATGTGAGAAATCAAAATATTTAAAAAAAATTCATGACGTCTTTTTTTATTTATTTCGTTCATATTTAAATATTGATTGTGAGAGCTCAGTGCAATATTATAGTACGTTATTAATTAATCATTTAAAAATGTACAAAAAGTTAAAAACTTTCAGTAAAAAAAACGACGTGATTGCTCGAAATCAGATTATAAAAATTGAACGATTCACACATTTATTTTTAAATAAAAATTCTGTAGCTGATTAATTTATAATTTGAAGATGTGTAGTTTAAAGATTTTTAATGAGATTCTAGACTGCAAGATATGATAGTAAGTTATCAATTATTTTATAAAAGCCTAAAAAAAAGTTAGTGATCGCTGGAAGTCTGACCATAAACGTCCAATAGTTCAAACGTTTTTTCAAAGTAAAAAATATACTGGTTAATTTATAAATTCAAGTTGTGTAGCAATGTGAGAAATCAAAATATTTTAAAAAAATTCATGACGTCTTTTTTTATTTATTTCGTTCATGTTTAAATATTGATTGTGAGAGCTCAGATGATAAAATATTATAGTAAGTTATTAATTATAACGTTGTCTACTTAATAAACAAAGATAGAAAAAGTGCTAATAATGCTGTGATGACAATGATAATCTGGTAGAAAATTTGATCGTTGAGAAATCAAATTAATATTCACAACTGGAATGGTAGTAGCTAATTGGTCCAAATATATTTTTTCCAGATTTAACATATAGCTCGGAAAAAACAACCCACCACCAATGCATTACAGTTAACTTGGCCCGATTGTTTTTTGTATAAAATTAGTAAATATTTCTCTATTTATTTAGAAATCGTGAGATGCAGTCTGGTGTGATGTACGTTTCGATCTTTACTGAGATCATCTTCAGCGCTCAAAGTGTTTGTCTTCTGTGTAATTGTGCCATTCTTGCGTGTCGTGTCGAGAGTGCCCGAGTGTGTGAGAAAATATTTTTCTGAAACCTACATCACACCAGACCGCATCTCACGATTTCTAAATAAATTTCGATTAACGGTCACTAATCACCACACATATTTCTCTATTTTAATATGGAATATGAAACGTGAAACGTTAAAATATTTTTTAAGCAATGTCGTGACAGTCTTTTGTGAATTAACAAGTGGTTTTTTTTATTTATTTCGTTTATGTTTAAAGCATAATTGTGAGATCCTAGACTGGAAAATAAATAAAAATGACAACGTATTACATACAAAAAAACAAAAAAAAAGGTAGAATTTCTCTATTTTAATGGTTATTTAACGTCAAAACTTTTACTTATTTTTCTGTTGCTTAAGTGCGCTTTTTAAAATGGCAGTTTGAACGATGGATCTAACATTTGTAATAATGACAAAATATGAAATAGGTAAAAATACAATATACTTGAGTGATTTTCAATCCGCGACTTTCGCCCAATTTTGCAACGGCTGAGTCCAAAGCTGAAAACGTTTAAACGCAATGGGTAAAGTTATTTGTTCTTACACAACAAACTGGCTAAATATTGTTTTTTTGTAATTTATCACCAGCCATGCGACCCTTGAAAGCAGGTATAACGTTGAAATAATTTTTGCGGAAACGTTTTCAAAATTAGGTTTACGGATTGCAAATAAAAGAACTTAATATTGATTATAAAATTGAAATTTTTTTTGAAATTATTAAACTTGTGTAAAAAAATCCCTTTTTTGGTTCTTTTATTCTTTTGTTTTTGATTTATTTTCACATCCAGGGATACGTTCGTGCATTTTGAACTTTTAAAAACTATAAAATCGACTTGATCACCTTTGAGATTTTTATTTATTTATTAATAATTGAAGTGTATTTCACAGTTTCATTAAGTCCGCTAGGACTTTGTGTCATACTCCATGAGGATTCAGGACATACCACGGATGTGAAATAAGTAAAAATTATCCAACTTTTGTGCCAGACATCTTTGATTAAAAATCAATTGAGCAGTTATCAATTCCAATCAAGCTTCCATGTTTCCATTGATTTTGTGAAATATTTTCAAATTTTTTCAATACTATTGATAATTGAAAAAGTCAATTATGAATGTGAGGTGAAATAATTCGTGTTTATTTAAACAAATGGCTTGTTAAAATAATGTATTCATTTTTATGTTTGTTTAAATATTTATTAACAAACAGGGATAATTAATCGCGCGTTGCTAATTCACTTGGGTTTGTTTGTTAGCACCCATTTTTTCCCTATGGTCCAGCTCCTGGAAATGACCGCTTTCTGAACGGTTCTACCACGACGGGTACAGTGCCAAAGAAATGACAAGTGTTTCGACAAAATTTCCATAACCGTGTGATACAATAAAGAAAGCAATAAATCATTCAAGAATTAAATGGATCGTTGACAACGAGCCAATTTCATAGTCAATTTTCTGTCACAGCCGATGTGACTTTACGAAATGTTTCCAATCCGTTTGAATTTTTGTAACGCCTTGTTGAACTTCCTTTTACTTTGATTTATTTTTTTCGTATAATTTCTAGATTTGAATGAAAGAATGAATAAATGGTTTATTTACACAAGAGTACATTCATTAGCTTTACATTTCGCAAAAGTTATTATTGACAATGCCCTTAGCTGTACTTGTTGCCTTATACACTTTATTTTTGTTATTTAAGATACTTATTTGATTTTAGAAATTGAAGTGGTCGATCAAATATCGGTAAAAAAGCGCGTGAGGAGCAAAAGAGACGGTCCTGTCTCTATGGTCGGCAGTTCAGCTGGAGCAATTCCAAATTTCCTCGAGTTATCCGTTTCGTTAAAGATTGCGATGACTTCTTTATTCAACTTCGGTATGCCAAAGTACTTCTGGCGGAACTCTCTTAGAACAGGGCATACTCCTGAAGTTAGAATTGTCCTTTGGGACATTGTGGTTATACGAGAAGCAAAAGAGACGATCCTGTCTCCATGGCCGGCAGTTCAATCTCACTCACGTCATAGGTTGTCTGGAACCATGTAGTTTCGGCCTAATTCTAAGTCGAGTCTTGCATACACGTCGTGATGAAAGCTATTTCTTGCACGAAAGTTCAGATAGTTACTTTTACTTGCCTCCCACTTTTTAATCAGGTATTAGAGGACTTCAGTTCCTCCCTACTTACTCCTACATCGAACATCCAACCTGCTTATGCCACAATATGCATATTTTTTACCATGTCGGTCAAAAACTCAGTCTGGTGTGGTTCAGTACTTTCCTAATATATTTCAGATGCAGGCTCAGAATATAGCTGTAGAGCGGTGGGGCCGAGCTCTCACTAAGTCTGGGGTCATTCATTCTTTCGTATCCTAGATTTTTAGGTCTTGCTTTCCGTAAATTTTATGCCAAAAAATTGTATTCTGGTTTATTCCCTGTTCAGTAATATCGTTTGTCAACGGAATGTGTACCGAGTCTTGCGGAATACGTGTGCACTGTTAATCCGGTGTCAATCCGGCTTTGCGAATTATCTCCTAGCATGCGGAAAATTCCCGGCAAGTACAAAACCAGAGGAAAGGAACGGTCTGGATCCGACGGAGTTTGTTTAACGGTGGATTATTCTCGGTCGGCGTACCGTCATGGTAAATCACTTTCCCTACGACACCTGGTGGTGGCCAGGGCTCCCTCAAGGCAGTTCCTTGTCTAGGTCACGAGTTTCTAGCAGGATCGTTCACTCTTTGCAACCGCTATTTCCACATTTCTTTCCATTCTGCTGAACAATTTTCTCATACTGTATAGTTCAAGCACAATTTCTAAATCGAATCCTGAATGGATGGAGTAATTTGAATTTTCATGGGAAACTTAACATAGGAAAAAAAACGGGGGTGTCAAATAAATGTAAATTATACTATTTTATTATTTATTTTATTTTTCTATGTTTATAATGGATATCTAACATAACTACTAATCTTTGGTTAATACAGCTGCAATGGGTAAAATGCATTACTCAATGATACAGGTACAATTTGGTATCTTGCTGAAAACCCCGAAGGTAAGTCTGTATCTGGTAAGGCTGTTAGCGAAAAGTATTTTCCCGATGGAATTTTCACCTCATCAACATTTGAAATATGCGAAGTTGCAATATTAGAGGATTTGTAATCATTGTATTTTTGGTCGATAAGTTGGCTGTGCTTGTTGCTGGCTGAGTGTAGCTATCGTGTAACGAGGATCCGAGGTCTTCGAGGTCATGATCGTTACCTCCAGAATGATCATAGGCTTGTTTTGCATTATTCTCGTGGTTGTGACCGTGCTTGTCATTTCCATCGTGATGATGACCGTGAAGTATTTTTCCGGAAAGGCGATGGCCGTGTTTGCCATGACCTTCGTGTTTATGACCATGATTAAGTTGCCCTTCTTGAAGATGATCATGGTCAGATTTGCCGGAATGTTGATGTCCGTGTTTGGCATGACCTTTGTGATGATGATCATGGTCAGCTATGCCAGAATGATGATGTGCGTGAGAGTGAGAACCATGATGTGAATGTTCGTGTTCGGCATGGCCATGGTGTTTGTGGCTATGACCTAACTTTCCTTCGTGTTGATGATCATGGTCAGCTTTACCAGAATGATGATGTCCGTGAGAGTAAGAACCATGATGTGAATGTCCGTGTTCAGCATGACCTTTGTGATGATGATCATGGTCAGCTTTACCAGAATGATGATGTTCATGTTTCGCATTACCTTTGTGATGATGATCATGGTCGGCTTTGCCGGTATGATGGTGTCCGTGAGAATAAGAACCATGATGTGAATGTCCGTGTTCAGCATGACCTTTGTGATGATGATCATGGTCAGCTTTACCAGAATGATGATGTTCATGTTTCGCATTACCTTTGTGATGATGATCATGGTCAGCTTTACCAGAATGATGATGTTCATGTTTCACATTACCTTTGTGATGATGATCATGGTCAGCTTTACCAGAATGATGATGTTCATGTTTCGCATTACCTTTGTGATGATGATCATGGTCAGCTTTACCAGAATGATGATGTCCATGAGAGTAAGAACCATGATGTGAATGTTCGTGTTCAGAATTGCCTCGGTGTTTATGACCATGTCCGATGTGCCCTTCATGATGATGATCGTGGTCAGCTTTACCAGAATGATGATGCTCGTGAGAGTGCGAACCATGATGTGAATGTACATGTTCGGCATGACCATCGTGTTTATGATCGTGCGCATAATGTCCGGCATGTTGATGTCCGTGTCCTACATTCCCAACGTGTTTGTGACCATGAGAAGCAGATCCCGAGTGCTTATGATCGTGCTTTGCACCACCTGTGTGCTTATGCCCATGAAGCCACGAACCGCCGTGATGATGCTCGTGTTCAGCTTGTCCGTGATGATCGTGAGAATGATATCCATGTCCGGAATGTTCGTGCCCATGGCCGAAATCTCCGCTATGTTTATGGACATGCTCAAACACCGCTTTATGATAGTGCGTGTGCTTTAGAGATCCGGCATCTACTAAATCTAACCCAAAAGAATCCTCTGTATTATCGCTAAAATCATAATTAAAAACGATTATTAAAAAAAATGATTTAAACTTAAATTTAAATTCTTACAATCCTGGATTGGGTTTCTCAGAAATGATTTCTTCTGCACCATGACATCCTTCATACTTTATTATAAAATAATAATAAATTATAAAGACACAAATTTCCTATAGCAGAAAAAAAATATTACGTACAATGTTTGAACTGAAATATGTTTATTTGGAAAAAATATACATACTTTCATGGTGTTTCCTTCTGGATTCAATTGGCTTTGACTCGGAGTGTCGACCACCGCTCTTTTATATTTTCCAAGTTTTACGACTAAAGGAACTCCTACAGTAAGAAGTTATAGTATCGATCTTTAATAGTTGTTAAAATCACTTCATCCGGAAGTACCAACGGATTTCTTACTTTTAAAATGAAACGCTTTTTTATAGCTTTATGGTCGAACTAAACCTACCCCTGCAGGAAGTCCTTTTCAGATTGAATGTGAAGCTGAACAAATTGGTAAAAAAGAAACGTAAGTTTAAATTGTACTGTTAAGGATTGACAAGTATTACACAATCCGACTCGCTGTTTCTTTATGCAATTTATTGTTAGTTTTATTATTTGAACATTTAATTGAGCATTGTTGCTAGCAGAAATGTAGAAGCAAGTAGTTTACAGCCCACAATAAATTTGTTATAATCTTAACACGAGTAATATATTGTTACTCTAAAACTGTTTGTCTAAATTGAACATAAAATTAGTATATGAAACGATAATTATTTTCTTGGTTAAAAAGAACAAAATAAACAGTAAAGTGAATGAAAAGTATAAAAATATCAATCATAACTATTTTGCTTATTTTTTTACTGGGAAATTAAACGATCAGCTCAGCATAGTTTGTAGGCAAACTTTCCTAGATAGGTACAATCGACAGTCTTTTCTTTTGGTATGGTCGGGTTTTAAGCTATCACCGTCGTCCATTTTCCTTTTCTCATCATCTTCACTAGATAATTCGACTTCTGTGGAATCTTTGATGTCTGTTTCGTCTGTTTCAGCTTCGTCATTATTTACTTGATCGGGACTATCAGCCGTAAAATAAAGTCCGTAATATTTGTTGTTAGGATAGAGGAAAATGTGAAGTTTTTTTTCATCCATGTCGTGTTGATTGTCGTTACTATTTTCGTCGTCTTGATCGTCGTAGTAGAAACCATGAGTCTCGTCATGATCGTGGTTGTCGCCGTGGAGATGATTTCCATGATGTGCGTGAGCGTGATGCGCCATGCCGTCGTGTTTGTGATGATGCTTGCCGTCTCCGTTGTGTTTATGCCAGTGATGAGCGGATCCGTCGTGTTGGTGTTTGTGACTCCCCAGGCCGGTGTGTTTGTGGCCGTGTTCCGCGTGGCCGAAGTGATCGTGCGAATGATGACCTTTACCGCTGTGCCCGTGTACGTGGTCACCGTGGCCTTTATGCGCATGACTGTGTGCGGCGTGCCCGGCATGCTTGTGCGAGTGTGCGGCAAGGCCGTGGTGCTTGTGCTTATGCTGGGCTTTGCCGAGATGTTCGTGCTTGTGATCCCCGTTGCCGTGATGTTCGTGTTCGTGTTTACTCTTTCCATCGTGTTTATGGACGTGTTCTACTTTCCCGCTGTGGTGATGATGATGGACCACTTTACCCTTGTAATGATGGTCCGATTCTCTGTTATCATTTTTGTGCACGTAAACGGTATGTGTATGTCTTATTTTCTTCACAACTTTTGGCACGTATAATAACACTCTATTTCTTCTGAAAACAAAAAATTAATAAATCAGACGATTAGAGTGCTCAGATTGACAAACATGGTACTTACTGAGAGCGTTCCTGTATTACATTATTTAAATATTGCCCAAGCGACAAATGGACAGCCACCAGCACCTGTAAAACATCGCATGAGTCAATTATACTATTTTTATATGGTTTTACTTTTATTAAACCAAATTTGGTCAAATCAAATGTCTTTTCTATTTTCCTGGGTTAATGTATGATTTTTAAAATGCTATAAGAAATACTCTCTCCCTGCCAGACTATTTCTTTCTTTATCATTCTCTGTCAATCACTCTCACTCTCTCTCTCTCTCTATCTATCTATCTATCTATTTCTTTTTTCTTTCTTTCCGTCCCTGCCAGTTCATTTCTTACTTTATCTTTCTCTACCAATCTCTCTCTCTCTCTCTCTCTCTCTCTCTTACTCTTTTTTCTGTCTGCCCTCTCTCTTTCTTTCTCTCTCTTTTTTCTGTCTGCTCTCTCTCTCTCTCTTTCTGTCTGTTCTCTCTCTTTCTTTCTCTTTTTTCCGTCAGCTCTCTCTTTCATTCTCTCTTTCTCTCTCCCTTTTTTGTCTGCTCTCTCTCTTCCTCCTTCTTTTTTTATGTCTGCTCTCTCTCTTTTTTATGTCTGCACTCTTTCTCTTTCTTTCCCTCTTCTTTTTGTCTGCTCTCTTTCTCTCTTTCTCTCACTCTTTCTTTCTCTCCCTCCCTGCCAGTCCATTTCTTATTTTATCTATCTCAATCTTTCTCAGCCAATCTCTCTCTCTCTCTCTCTCTCTCTCTCTCTCTCTCTCTCACTTCCACTCACTCACCCCTCCTCTCTCTCTCTAGTCTCTCTATTGGTCTGCTCCTTCTCTCTTTCTCTCACTCTCTATTTCTCTTTCTTACTCTCCCTCTCTGCCAGTGCATTTCTTACTTTATCTTTCTCTACCCATATATTTCTCTCTCTCTCTCTGTTTGCTGTTTATATGTCCGCTCTACGTCTCTCTCTCTCTCTCTCTCTCTCTCTTTTACTCTTTTTTCTGTCTGCTCTCTCTCTTTCTGTCTGTTCTCTCTCTTTCTTTCTCTTTTTTCTGTCTGCTCTCTCTTTCATTCTCTCTTTCTCTCTCCCTGTTTGGTCTGCTCTCTCTCTCTTTCTCCCTTTTTTTTATGTCTGCTCTCTTTCCCTTTCTTTCACTCTTCTTTTTGTTTGTTCTCTCTCTCTTTCTCTCACTCTTTCTTTCTCTCCCTCCCTGCCAGTCCGTTTCTTATTTTATCTATCTCAATCTTTCTTAGCCCATCTCTCTTTCTCTCTCTTTCGTAGAGAGAGAAAAAATTAAGAGAAAAAGACTGTTTATTTTTTTATCTCTCTGTTTCTTCTCTTTCTACAAACTATATTGCATAATGTCGATTGTTGGTGGACTAGTTCATAGTCAGTCCTCTCATGCTTTGCTGTTCTTTTCCTTACTTCCTTTATATATTTTTTCTATAATTATCACTTTAGAAATTTCTATTAATACGACTCTGTGGTTTTATATTTCTTATTGCGGCTATTGTCTTACTTTCTATCTTCAGTATCTTTGAAAAATCTCTATCCATAGCAAAGCTCCAGTTTTTATATGCAAGGCTGGGTTTAACAACTTTGCAAAATTGAAGCATATTATTTTGCCTCAAAAACTTCATAACTTTTCGATGTTTTAGGGTCAACACAGTCAGAAGTCTTCTTATCTGATTACAGTTTTTTTCCCGTAAATTTATACTTTTGTGTTTTTTCATATTTCCTATGCTATTTATTGTAACTGGTGGCTATATTTTTCTTTGTTATATTTGTTTAAAACAGAAACAGGGAAGGCGAAATTTTTGTGGTGTATTACTAAGAACGTTTTTGCCTACTTTATCGATTATTTCACGGCTTAAACGGGCCACGTTCAGGGGGGGGGGAGATAAAAAGCATGTCTCATTTCATAGTAACACAATGGTTTATTTCTTTTTCTTCAGGTTTCTTTTTAAACACGGTGTGAGTGGTCGGTAAATTTTTAAATTAAGCGATTATCGACTTGCACCACGAGGCCCTCGAAGCAGCGTTTCGTTGTGAAACGAAATCGCAGTGTGATAACGCGATTATTCGCCACACGTGACGTAATTCAGCCGAAACATTTTGATTCTGAAACAAGGCCTTTAGGAATTTCGGCTGTTGCATACGTGGAAACTACCCGACCGTTTGGTACAGACCAAGTTTCTCTTTGTCCCGGCAAACTTACAAAGGGAACACTTTTGAAAAAAACAATATTAATGTAACGAATAAAATTGAAAATTAAGTAGAAAACATCTTTTTTCAGTCGTCACATGAAATTATATAATTTATTAGTTTCAGAAAAAATGTTTTTATTCAGCGTCTGATGCTGCAAGTCAAGAAGTAATAGATTTTTTGTAAACTAAATTGTTTATATGGTTACTTTAGTTTAACCACTGAGAAATTATAAAATTGCTCTTTATGCGGATGACGTAGATGTCTATTGTTCATCCTGGGCCTAAGACAATTGTGAATTAAATGGCAGCATCACCAGGATTTGCAGGTTTTGTCACTGCTGGAAACTCAGAATTTTCCAAAACAAGCCGTATTTTTCACAAAACGACGACTAATATTCAGGGAAATCATTTCCAATCACGGACACAAAATCGAGTGGTGTGAGGGGGTTAAGTACTTAGGTTTAATTCTGGAGGGAAAACTTAACTTCTCTTGGCATATAAATGCTATAGTTTACGAAAGGGAGAAAAAACATCCATAAAAGCCTTATTTCCTCTGATGGCCCTTGAGAGTGGAATGAGATTTGAAAATAAACTAATTATCTTCTGCTGTGTGCTTGCCCAGCATGGAGTTGCCCTGCGAATCGAACATCCAAAAACTGCAAACGGTCCAAAATAAATTTCTAAAATTTATAACCTCACTACCTCGATACACCTGAATTGACCTGCTACATGACAGAACGGGAGTGGAGAATATTAAGTCCGAATTAAAGCGTCTGTCCAGGAAATTTTTTATGGGTCTCTCCACCAGCAAGAACACTACTTGTAGGGATGTAGGAGTGTATGATGTTAACTTTCCATGGAGCTGTATGATGTTCACTTTCCCCTACATCCAAGGGTTATCGGAACAGTTGAGAAGTTGTCTGAAAAGGAAGTTCCTTCTAGTTAAGTTGGCCTTCCGAAACAGTAATGCGGTCAAAAAATACTACTCACCGCTAAAAGATAAAATTGAGAAAGCACTACAATCAGGCCTGGTATACAAAATTGAATGCAAAGACTGGAAGAAAGTATACTATGGTGAAACCAAACAATACCTAAAGAATAGAATTTATCAACATAAATACACAGTCCAAACATAATAAAAACAATGAAACTGCTTTGGCACAACATGCAGTTGTTGAAAGTCATACTTTTTTTTTTTTTTTTTTTTAAATTGGTCTTATGATCTTTGCATATTAGCCATGACGAATCTCTTATATATGTTGTTCAAATTGGGGGTTATCGGGAAAAAAGGGCCAGAGGCGACGGTGGGAATCGAACCCACGACCGCGGCGTGAGAGTCTCTCATGCTAACCACTCGGCTACCGCGGTCCCACTTTTTTATTTGATGACGTTAATATTGTTACAAAGGAACGAAATAGTAAAAAACGAAAGTTCCTAGAGGCCCTTTACATAAAAAAGATAAACTGTCTGTTAATTACCGTCAAGACTGTGATATGATAAGTGATTGCTATTTTCATTTATTAAACAATATATAAAAATATTCTAGTCAATTTTAAACTCTGTAGGAAACTTAAAATCTGTGATAGTTGTGATAATAATTGTTAAAATATTGTTAATAAAATAAATAAAATTTGTTGTTTAAAAATAGATTTATAAGAAAAATGCAATTTTACCTGTTGAGTGGTATTTTTAATACGTTGGTCTGTGATAAGATGTTGATAAGAGGTCGAACGTCACATGAGAGGTTGTGATAAGAGTCTAGTCGGGTTCAAAATATTAAACGTTTGTTTCTAGTCTGAATAAGTACCACACTGGCTCCTTTTTTAAAATAAATTGTTATAAATTATTAATGACTGACGACCACTTTTTTAACCATTGTAAGTAGTGAAGAAACAAATGAAAAAAAAAATTTGTTCTGTGTACAGGCGTTAACTCACCTGAGGAAGGATTAAAATAAATCCGCAACGTTGTGGATAAAAACTGGTTGTGGTTTTTTGAGATGACCAAGAAGGAAGAATCATAAGATTTCCATGGAAACATAGAAGGAATAGGCACAATACATAAATCTAGGATTTGTGATATATTTATCGTTTCCTCTACCAAAGCTGTGATACTATAAGACAATTTGTGATAATTCAATTACTAGTTCAATTAATTAAGGTTTTTAGTTGAGATAAAAAAGTCAGTGTCACGAGCGGGATTCGAACCCACGACCTTCGGCTAGATGCGCCGCTACTCTACCATTGAGCTCAATTACTAGTGTTGCATTGTTCTTGTTAATCTCATTTATTTTTTTATATTTTTGTTAACATATTTTTGTTAATTCATTTGTTAATTCTATGTGATACCTAGTGGGTTTTTAAGACAATATTTTTCTCCACTATTTACTTGTTTGGTTAATTAAAAATAATAACAAACTAGGACTAGGTGCGTTGATAGGAAAACGTTTTGAAGTAGGATGTAACAAGTATTTTTTTAAGTAAATGTTTATTCGTTCATTCATTAATGGGGCTCGAGAAAACCATTGGTTTAAGTAGCAGAAGTGCCCTAGTCCCGTCTTCTACACGATGTACACTGATGATCCAAACACAACTCACAACATATGCAGACGTCACCAACCCTATCCAGCAACAGAAATAGTCCAACAACATCTCACTACTGGTACGCTCGGTGCAGATCAGGTCAATAAAGTCAACAAATAACGTTTAAAATCTAACGTCTGATTTTCTCACCTGGCACAAATTAACAAGGTCCTTCCAACAAAGTCTGCTCCCTTAGGGTTTACTTACAGAGCAGAAATATGTGGTGTTTGGTGACCGTTAGTTAATGATTATTCGAAGATGCGGTAGGTTTTAGAAAAACATTTTCTTTACCGTGCCTACGT